AAATTTTAAATAAAATTTCTAGAATAAACATATAAAATAAAAAAGTTTTAAAAATAACAGTGAAAGTTTCATCTATCTGAAAATCACTTAGGCGTAGGACCTGTTTCTTAGGAATGCTGGATGAATGAGGTGCCACTCTAACAGTATGCAAAATGCTATAGCATGCTTGCATGAATACAAATTCTGTCTGTTAAATATGATGCATAACAGTTAAAAATTTTCCAGATTATAATACATCAGAAAATGAGTGTGTCTTCTTTGGAAAAGAGTCCATTTTTGATGAAACCCAAACAGGGAATGAATGGTCTTTATAAAAATTATCCCAGTTACAAATAAATAATAAAAAATACATTAATTTTATTTTGATGAACTATGAAGGAAGAACTAAATAAAACCCCATGGAATTTTGTGGTGATGATAATCTTTCCTTAGAATACTGATAACAATAGATATCAGCATTTATTATACAAAGGGCTAGTACAGTTTACTTTCAAGTTGCATTTTTATTGCAGGTAATTCCATAGCTGTCTTACTAGCATACAGCTGAACTCCACACTTTTCAGCCTGGTCTCTCATGATTTTTGCCTATTTACCTCTACAACACCATTTCTTCTTGTTCCCCTACACATAACCTAGGTTCCAGGTAAACTTTCTGGTTCCCGAAATTGATTTCATTTTCTCACATCTGCTCTTACCCTTTTTTTCTTCTTTCCAAATCCTATTCCAAAGCTCGGGCCAAATAATACCCACTTTGTAAAGCCTTTCTTTTTTTTTTTTTGAGACAGAGTCTCACTTGTTGCCCAGGCTAGAGTGAGTGCCGTGGCGTCAGCCTAGCTCACAGCAACCTCAAACTCCTGGGCTCAAGCAATCTTCTCCCAAAGCTGGACTACAGGCATGCGCCACCATGCCCGCTAATTTTATATATATATATAATTAGTTGGCCAATTAATTTCTTTCTATTTATAGTAGAGACGGGGTCTTGCTCTTGCTCAGGCTGGTTTCGAACTCCTGACCTCGAGCAATCCGCCCGCCTCAGCCTCCCAGAGTGCTAGGATTACAGGCGTGAGCCACCACGCCCGGCTTGTAAAGCCTTTCTTGATAGAACCCAATCTACCTTCCTCCCCAACACAAGCAGAATCCTCCCATTAGACTCATGACTTATTAATATTCTTGTCATACTTGCCCAAATCTATTTCCCTCTCAAGTATCTACAATGGGTAGGATAAAGAGATATTAAAAGGCACTAGAGTCAAACCATCCACTAAATGTATGACTGGTCTAGATACTTAGTAAGCCTTAGATCCCTCCCTGAAGAATGGAGATAATCATAACTGACTTTACATGTTTGGTTTTATTGAACATCAAGGACAGAATGAACCAATGAATCAATAAATGCATGAATCCTGCCTCATGCTTCTGATCCTATAAAGAGAGGGGAGTATGATAAAGGCCAAATTGTCTTAGCTTTTCAGATCCCTCTCTTCTTTGTACTAACTCTTTTCTAGGTGAAGTCAAGATGTATGATCCTCTAAATTTATTGTCAGGTCATTAATTATGAATATTAGTTTAAATGACAAATGGAAGGTTCCAGCAGTATCCTAGGCAAAAATGCAGAGATCTGTATTTACAATATGTACAAGAGTACATACCTATATTTACAAGAGTACATACATAAAGATGTTAAAAGGAAAGGTATAATTGTTTCTGCGCCTCCTAACAGGCAGTCACACATTCAAAAATTAGAACCTGTGAATTTAAGAAAGCAACCCAGGTTATATCTTTAGGATAGCATTTTTAAAATTACTTACAACCAATTAGTGCTCTAATAAGGTTCATCAGAGAACACAAAACCCTCATTCAACCATTTTTCTTCCAACAATGCAAATTAGTACTGGGCAATAATTCAAGAAACTGAAAACAAATCCTAAAACAGGTGCTTTATCTTACCAGATGCACTAATATAAGATAATCAGGTGCAAGGGAAGGGTAACAGGAAATTTTCATTAATAGGTAAACAAAAGATCTTTCCAAAGTTGGATTATTACTCATTCCTATTTTTTCTATAATGATTTTTATTTTATTTATTCATTTATTTATTTATTTTCTTTTTTATTTCGGCATATTATGGGGGACAGATTTTAAGGTTTCAATAAATGCCCATTTCCCCCTCCCCAAGTCTGAGTCTCCATCATTACCATTCCCTAGATGGTACACATCTCACTCATTAAAAGATCCAATGAACTCTACAAAAAGACACCTGCACTCGAATGTTTATAGCAGCATCATTCCTAAAGTATGCTTCTTTTAAAAAACAAAAAGGAAAAAATCATTTCTCACTCAACTGATAACAGCAGGCCAGATATTTGCAAATATCATGTAAGTGTTCACATTCACACACATACACTATTCTGAAAGAAGATGTTTTGGGCCTAACAGAGAAGATTTAAAATTTGAGGTTTAAACTTAGAAGGTTAAACATCTAAAACAGGCTGGGCTCACGCCTGTAATCCTAGCACTCTGGGAGGCCGAGGCGGGTGGATTGCTAGCGGTCAGGAGTTCGAAACCAGCCAGAGTGAGACCCTGTCTCTACCAAAAATAGAAAGAAATTCATTGACCAACTAAAAATATGTATATACAAAAAATTAGCCAGGCATTGTGGTGCATGCCTGTAGTCCCAGCTACTTGGGAGGCTGAGGCAGTAGGATCGCTGAGCCCAGGAGACTGAGGTTGCTGTGAGCCAGGCTGACGCCATGGCACTCACTCTAGCCTGGGCAAAAAAGTGAGACTCTGTCTCAAAAACAAAACAAAATAAAACAAAGCAAAAAAACCATCTAAAACAGACTTTTAAAAATAATTATGATTGTGTCTGTGTATGGGATAGGGGATCCCTTGAGTAACACAGACTATATTTATCATGCCTTGTATCACTAGCAACCACCACAAAACCTGGTACATTGAAGCCACTTAATATCAGTTCAGTATTTGTTGACTGAACTAACATTCCAATTCAGGTTGCACAATATTAACACAAAAAGCACCAGCATAATTACATGCACTTTAATGTAATTTCAAAACTATTTAGTAAATAATTTGAAACAAGTAAGAATCACTTATGAATAGAGACCAATTGTGTAATAATTTTGAAAAGAGCTGAATCTTCCACACTTTTCAGTAGAAATGAAGCAACATTTCACAAAAGCAACTATAAACAAGGCAAGTCACAATGTGGAACATAGGAGTTATGGTCTTCACTTTTAGCAGATTGCAGAGGGCCATAGTAACAGGTTTCATTTTAGCACCACAATAGCAAATATTGTGAACCTAATTAAGTAATTAGTAAGGGATTTTCATTATGAAAATAATACTTCCTCATCTTAAAAGTGGCCACCTATTGGGTTTGTAAATTTAGTAGTATTTAAGAAAGGTAAACAATATACTGGGGGAAGGGCTGCATGTTATCCAAAAACAGCAATCCAAAACCAAGCTCAAGTATTTAATTATAGGAAGCTTATGTAGTTCCCTATGAGGTTTCACATAATTGTTTACTTTACCATATAAGCATGACTATGAAAGGATATAAGGCTATTTAATGGGAAAATTTTATTGTTAATTACTGTTATGCTAGTGGAAATCTGTTGAAATATGTAAAATAAATTAGGTTACTGCAATTGATTTTTAAGCTTTCCAGATGCCCTACATAGTTAAAATCCTGTCTTTAACAATAGTCACTTCTCAAAAGGCCTCGTGTGATCATTAATTACATAGCAACTATTTTAATCACTTACTCTAGATTCAAATTTCCCTGAACATTTCATAAAAATTTTTTATGTTGTATGTTAGCTTACTAAACAACTCAATAAAGGCACAGCAATTGAAAGTATTATTTTTTCACATACTGAGATGTCTAATAAAATGTCTTGAAACTCTATTATTTTGTTCCCTGCTGGTTCATTTTTCCACAAAACTTAACCAAATGTTTGGTTGGCAGGGGTTTTCATGAATCAAGATTTTTTGCAAGTTGCAACATGGAGAAAATAATGTTAGAATTATTCCTTTCAAGTTTAACCACAATAATATTGCTTTGCTTATTCCTTTCTTGGGGGCTAAATACATTCACAATATACTTAAATGTACAATGATCTCACGTTAATTCCAGACTAATTTAGAAACAGAACCAGTATACAATTTTTGAAGAAATTTAGTAACTGCTATCATTTTGGAATTGATTAATGTGCTACCTGATTAGCATTCCTGCATGGAAATACTTCCCACCAACTAAAGCTTCACAGTGTTTACATATATGCACACATCACAGGTAGTACATCTTGTTCAACTGCCATTCATTCATTTATTGGTTTTAAATATTCATGCTGAACTACCTGCTGGACTACCTACAGAACAGAAACAAGTCAAAGCAATTCTCTTGATAATTGTGTTTATTACAAAATCAAAAAATGTTAGGGCTGGAAGGGATACAAATCTTTGTCCAACTTCCTCATTCTAATAACATTCAAGAAACAAAAAAAGCAGCTAAGATCCAGAGATGGACTTATATATATGGTCATAAAGCATCAAAAGTAGATCAAGACTCTTTCCATGAGACAAGTAGAATAACCTAAGAAGACTTTCATCTTTACTGTGGATATCCTCTACAACAAAAGCTGAGTTCCTAGAAAAACTTACAAGGAAAAACAAAAGACAAACCACTTATAATAAACTGTTCATAATAAATCAATTCCTTATATTATCAATGAGTGGAGTATAGACAATGAGGAAAAACTTCTTGGTATAAATTGCTTTTGGTACCTCCACCACCATTTCCAAGGTGGACCTGGAACATGGGAACAAAAACAAAGAAAGCTCTTATGTTTTCACTTAACACCTGATTAATAATTCATTTTCTCATTGCTAGACCTTCAACAGTTGCTCCATATTTGCTGACTGGGAGTTTCAGGACTGGTTGCTTTTAGTCACCATTACACCTTGTCATTGCAACCTACCTCCTTGGCCATGTCTGTGTATTTCTGCTTTTCCTTTGGATCGAGAACAGCCCACCAATCAGCTAGTATCTTGGTAGCACCTCGGTTATCAAGCCTGGGGTGTTCCTGACGTACAAGGGAGCGATGGCGTTTGCAAAATAAAAGAAATGCATTCATTGGTCTCCGGGCTCGCTGTTCTGGTGATTCATCATCTTCAGTCTCACCAACATCTTGCTCTAGGCCATCGGCCCCAAGAAATTGAACCTATTTTACCAACCAAAACAAAGCCAGATGTTTAACATATCTTGGACAAGTTTGATTTAACAATTAGTCTTGGTTTGCAAATTGTTTTTTTTTTCTTAGCTCCATTTAAACAATTTACAAATTGGAAAAATATGATTTTTCAAAATAATCAACCACTGTTCATGGTAAGCAACTAACTTATGATGTATGCTTCTGTTTAGTTTCTATAGCAACCTGTGCATGTCTCTATTACAGCATATATTACATTGTGTTATAATTGCTCACATTTTTTTCTTTCTTACTAAACAGTGAGCTCTTTGAGGACAAAAGCTCTCTTATTTACCTTTACAACCATAGCACCTAGCTCAATGTTTGGTATATTAGTACTTAACTAATTATTGAATAATTAATAAACCTATTCTGTGATTTATGGGTCTGAAGATTAACAATATCCACATAAAATATGAATGTTAGCTGTGTCCTTCTCTTTTCTATAGTAATAAGACTGTTTGACATGAAAGTAAATAATAATAAACTACTGAGTGTTTTTGCACACATCACAAGTGGAGCTTCCTATTATAAAAAATCAAATAGACATTTAAAATGTTATTTGAAAGAAGAACTGCACAGTAAATCTTCAAGCTTGTAAATACCAAACTTTCTTATTTATAAAATGCTACGGTGATAAGAATAAATTCCCCTAAGCTTAGACCTTCAAAATCAATTTTGAATTCTCCCTTTTACTAAACATTTCATTCAATCACTGCTCAAGGTCTTTAAGGACTTCTACAAAACTCTGAATCTGTCCATTTTTGTCTGTATAATTCTTATTCTTACTGCCCTCGTACGGTTTTGGCCTATATCCTAGTCTTCCTGCTTTTCATCTTCACAATACTTCCTGTATATGGCTGCCAGATTAAATTTCTTAAAGCTCATCTCTGATTACAGAATCTCAGAACATATTAGGATTATAAAATATCTCCTAAGGTGAAAATATGATTCTATGATTTTTCTTGGAAACAATGTAACTATGAGCAGAAGTCCAGAATACTTACTAAGACGATTACCTTAATTTCTTGTTTCACAGTTAAAATCAAGAAGGACTAAGTTATAGGTTGAATATGCCTGATCTGAAATGCTTGGAACTAGAAGTGTTTCACATTTTGGAATTTTGGATTAAGGATACTCAATCCTAATCCGAAATGCATCAACCCATGATGCAGTCATTGGTCTGTATCATGCTGTAGGGCAGTAATTCTTAAACTTGAATGTGCATTGGAATCCCTGGAGGTACTGTTAAAACACAGATTGGCAGGATCCAGTCCCAAAGTTAACGATTCTGTAGGTCTGAAGTGGGTCCTGAGAATTTGTATTTCTAATAAGCTCCCAGGTGATGTTGATGCTGCTTGTCTGGGGATGACACTTTGAGAACCACGACAATAAAGCAACTATGCTCTTTGATATAATGTTTGTTGGGCAACTGTAACAGGCAAATAATCTAGGACAAATCATTGCTTAATCCAATCAGTATTTTTAAAAAAAATTTTTTAAGTATTACAAATGCAATTAATTAGCCATCAACTATCTTCAAACACAATTAGTACAGAAAAAACTTGAAGTCACAGCTATCTAATTTGGAAATACATTAGGGATTATTATTGGATGTGAAGGTTACATATTTATCTTATTGTGTGTATAATCATTAATAGTCATTTGCCTTTTCAAGGGATATTTATTTAGCATTCTGAAACAAAGAAGCTAAGGAAAAATTAGAAATAAAAAATGTATTATGTAAGTCAAGGAAGTAATTATATTTTCCCCTCAGAAAAGAAAAACTTTTGATTTAGTTACTAAATTATAAAAGACAAGCTAAATGCTGGGCAAAGGACCACACTGTTTTGGAAAGGAAGACAAATATAAATTACAAAGTAGTGTGATGACTGCATCAAGGAACCAGCAAGACAATGAAGCACTGGTGGATGAATAGAAACACAAGAAGGTCTCCCTAGAAAAGGTGTTGTCTGAGCTAAATTTTGAAAGACGAATGAGAATGTGTCAGGTGGTCAATGAGTAGACCTGGGGAACTAACAGGGATTAAGCTTGATGGTTTATTGGAACATCAATATGCAGTTCAATAGCACTGGTATGTAAAAGATGATGAGAACAGAGTTCTGGAAAATAAGGTTATAAGAGAAGGTATGGGCCACTTCAGAGAGACTGTTCCGTCATGTTAAAAAGCATGCATTTAATTTGTAGACCAGTGATTTTGGACTGTATGGAACAATAAAAAATGTCTGGTTTGACACAGATTGTCAACTTCTTATTTTGCCAAGCATGGATATTAAAAAAATTTTTTTAACTACAATGTTGTAATTATTTCATTAAATTAATTAATCAAAAAGAACATATATAAACACATGACTAAATTAAAAAATAAAGAACTCTCTCTGCACCTATTTTCCTTTTACCAAGGGGCCATTAATACTTGGTAAGAAGTCAACACTAGTACCCTCAGCTGGATGCAATGGAGAGCCATGACTGGTTATAAGTAAGGACATTGTCACAATTGAATTTTAAAGAGATAATTCCTGCTAACTGTGTAGAACACAGATTTTTAAGAGTGAAACTGGAAGCAACCAAAACTAGAGAACCCAGTTAAAATTTTATTTCAGCTGTCCAGGCAAAAAAAAAGGACAGAGATGAAATCCAGGCAGCAGTAATGGGGATGGAGAAGTGAGAACAGAGACAATATTTATGAGGTAGAACCAAGAGTGGTTAGTATCTAATTGGATCTGAAGGTTGAAAAGGGAAGAGTGATTCTAGCTTGGGTGGCAAAGTGTCTTCATATACAACAGAGCATACTTTTTCTCAAATGAGAGAAATTAGGTCTGGTGGGGAGCAGAAAGATCAGTGCTGGGCAGGCTGAATTTGAAGTGGTTACGGGTATGCCATTTGGGTACTGAAGTCTGTGGGATAACATTCCGAAGCACCAATATAGAGAAGGTGCTAAGACTAAGGGTGTGGATAAGATCACCAAACAGGGAGTGAAAAGAGAAAAGAATTCAAGGACTTTAATCTTTCACTCAATAAATGTTTACTGGACACCTGCTATGAGCCAGGCAACTCTTCCAGGTGCTGCAGACAGAGCAGGGAGCACACAAAGTCCTTTCCTTCATGAAACAGAGCAGCAGCACAATTGGGATTACATTTTGAAAAGATTCCTCTGGCTGCTTTGTTGAGAACAGACTGTAGGAAGGCACGAGCAGAGGCAAGGCACGACAGAGATGTAGATACAGTAATCTGTGCTAGAAAAGGTGGTGGCTTGGATCAAGGTGATACAGAGGTAGGGAAGTGTTAAGAAGAGGTCACAATGACAACATATTTTGAAGGTACAGCTGAGAGGATTTGCTGATGGATTTTATGTGAAGCTAGAGCAAAAGTAAGTAGATAAGTATGAAATACAAGGTTTTGGGTCTAACAAATTAGAATGTTGCAGTTGCCATTTAGTGAGAAAGGAAAGACGCAGGAGAAGGTTTGGAGAAGAAAAGCAAAAGCTTAGTTATGAACACATTCAAACTGAGATTCCTAGTTGATATCTAAGTGGAAATGTCAAGTAAATAGTCAGAGTTCAGAAGGGAGACAGAATTTAAGATTGGAGGCCCAGAGAACATCAACATCTGAGGAGAGAATAATGGAGGTGCTTCCTCCTAGGAAGTAAGAAATATAAATAGGAGAGAGTGCCCTCATGAAAATAGGAGTCACCTTCAAAGACCAAGTGATCAATAGGTGCAAATGTGTCAGAAAAACCAAATTAAGTATAAACATGGCAATTTCCTTGCATAGGAACCTCTTTCCCTGAAACAGGAAAGGAGGAAGGAAAGGGGAGAGAGACAAGTGCACATGTGTGTGGAGGAAGCTGAAAGGCTCACTTCTGGTGGCCTCCATGTGCTCTGTGAAAGAGAAGTAAAGGTCACCAGTGAGAACAACCTCAGAGGGTATCCAGGGAGGATATCTGAGAAACAGGAAAAAATGTCTATACTTCCTGACGAAAGCCAAGAAAAAGAGACTGAATGAATGTTGAAGGCCTAAAAAATATTAAAAAACATGTTTATAAAATTTGTCATGACACAAAATACATACTCAATTATTCTTCTATTCAGCATATATCCATCCAATATCTACTACATGCAAGGCACCATTCTCGGTTTTGGGGAAAGAGGAGAGGACAAGAGAGATGAGGCCTCTGCTCTTATTGGGCTTCTACTGTGGTCTGAGAAGACAGACATAAAAACTACACAGCTAAACACATGGCATAATGGAGGTGCTTCCTCTTAGGAAGGAAGGAAGAAATATAAATCGGATAGAGTGCCCTCATGGAAATAGGAGTTGCCTTCAAAGACCAAGTGATCATAGCAGCAAACACATGGCACATAGCAATAAGTGGAGTTCCTATGGAGGAACTCCTCCGACTTGGAATGAGTTGGGTGGGAAGGATGGGGATGGGTGGGAGGGGTTGGAGATGATGAGGTTCCATCTCTTTGGGGAGGGAGATCTTGTGCTGAGAGCTGAATGATGGGAGGAGGAGCCAGATAGGCCAAGACCTGGAGGAATGTCTGACTTCCTATAGTCACTTGCATGGTTGTGTGACTTTCTAAACAAGAGCCAGCTTCTCAGGCATGAGGCTATCATTGAAGGACTGAGGCACCACAAGGGCTTGCTGGGGTCAGTACAGCCAGATGCTATGAAGGCCAGAAGAGCAGCTCTGAGTCTGTTGATGGTGGCAGGGCGAGGCTAGAAGTGAAGACAGAGAGGCCAGAGGAGCCACAGGGTGGGTCCTGGGTGAATATATCAAGTTGCATGAATATTCCCATCTTACTACACTTGAATATTACCTACAGATCATTAGTTAAGTGATAGAAATACTGTTTTAGAAGGATTTGTTTTAAACTATTAGGAGGACAGGCCAGGCGGCTCACACCTGTAATCCTAGCACTCTGGGAGGCCAAGGTGGTGGATCGCTCAAGGTCAGGGGTTCAAAATCAGCCTGAGCAAGAGCCAGATCCCATCTCTACTAAAAAAAATAACAGAAAGAAATTAGCCAGGCATGGTGGTGCATGCCTGTAGTCCCAGCTACTTGGGAGGCTGAAGAAGGAGGATTGCTTGAGCCCAGGAGCTTGAGGTTGCTGTGAGCTAGGCTGACGCCACGGCACTCTAAAACAGGCAACAGAGTGGGATTCTGTCTCAAAAAATAAAATAAAATAATCAGAAGAAAAATCTAAGGTAATTATACAGGATTCAAATTATATATAAGTTTAGAAACAGATCTTTCATAGTACCATTCATGTTCACTGTAGTTTCTATTATAGAATATTATGAGTGCTCAGACAAACTTGAGACTTCTACAGTAAATGCAGTACTTACTTTATCAATATCCTCTTCTTCGTCTTCCTCTTCCTCCTCCTCTGAAAAGTCAAGAAGTTTCTTTGCTAGCAATGGATGCCACTGAAGACACTTTCGTTTTGGTCGCTTTCCAGCCCCTTCTCCTTCTGCTGAATGATCTTTATTTCTATTACTGCCTTTCATTACTGTGACCTGTAGTTGGGGGCAGGGGGAGAAATGAGATCAAAGTAAATTTGATTAAAATTAGTTTATTTAGCTAACTTAGCTTTAATTGGATTATAATTTTGATGACTAAACTACCAGCTCAGACATTTGCTGGACTCAGTGAGAATCCTAAGTACATAATCAAACATTCATTTCGATGGCTAAATTGAGCTAATAGAATTTGCCTTTTGTGAAATCTACTTCCTTCCACTCCATAACTTCAGAACTAAAAACCCAAATAAGCTGTAGGACGACTGCCCATTGCCTTCACCTGTCCATATTTACTCAGGGCAGCGTTTCTCAGTTACCCAGGAGAGGGTCCTGGAGGACGCCTCGCCAGGGAGTACAGGTGCCCACAGAAGTCACCCTCCACGGGCTCTCTGATGGCTCCTATTGTACTGTAACAATTTACAGGAGTTTGGCCTTCTATAGCATGATAAATCTGTGATTGTAATATTATAAAATGAGTGATTTGTAAGAATCAAATGTTTCAGATTTTAAATAAAACTATTTCATAAGATGACACACATTTTTCAAAACCTCTCTGTGTGCCGCCTCCAAGAACCCACTACACGAACACACCGTAAGTCACTTATCAGGCTGAGCACCCTCTGTGCCCATCTGTGACAAAACAAAGCAAAGATACCTTCACGTCTCTCCATTATATATACACGGCAACCTGGCAAAAAGTTTGCTCACATATTCGTATTATAGAGGTGAAAATAGCATAAAAGGAGGCTTGCCCTCTCCATCATGCTCAGTTTCATGGTCCAGAGGTAACTAGGTATCAGTTTCTTACATGCTTTCTCACCATATTTTTTGATTTGTTATTTCTTATTCACTCATTCAAAGTAATATTAATATATACATTATTGTTTGTACATACACATGTAAAAGACAATATAATTAAATGCCATCGATTTAAATGATGCACGAATAGTGAAAATTACAAACACAAATGCAGTTGCTGAAATCACCACGTAGTGGCCTTTTTGCTCAGTCTATGTTTACATTGGTCCAATGCCTTCAAAGTTATACCGTTAAACTTTTAAAGCCATATTAAAACTGAAACTGGGGTCAATCAACATTAGAATCTAGATTCATCGAGTTCTCAAGTCTTTGAAAAAACACGGCATAAATAAATATATATGTCTTCCTTAATTATTTCTGGATTTGGGGTCACGCTTAGGTTTTCCTCACTTCAAAACCAAAAAGAATTCACTAATGTTTTTTCCTAGAACTTGCATGACTTCACCTTAAACATTTAAATATTTGATGTGGAATTCATTTTGATAAAAGGAGTGAGGTAAGAATCTAGTTTATTCTTTTTTTTCCCCAAAGAGCTAGCCAACTATACCAATTTCAATGTCCTTAAGGACTGCATCATTTTATATCTTTTTATTTTTTTTTTCCCCTGAATACTTGGAGACATTTTATATCTTTTTAAAATATACAAATATATCAGTAAACATAGCCATTTAAAATTTTTAAGTTGTATATATCATGTTCTTCTCTCTGGGTCAATGAACTTTGATTGTTATCATTTTTAAATTATGTAATATTCTAAAATATGAATGTACCACAATTTACTCAGTCTACCACTGATAGATTTCTTGCACTGTAATAAAAATCCTCATTTTAATAAAATAATTTCCAAAAAAAATCTATATTTTGATAAAAATCCTCATTAAGTTATTAAAAGCTATGTCCAGCCCCCTACTACCAAAAAAAAAAGGAAAAGAAAAAGAAAAATACGTTTCTGTGGCTTTCTTGCAAGACACTCATGCTGAGTATCTGAAGCAATTACATGACTCCTGTGGCTGCCTCAGGAGTACAAGAAATTATTGAAAACTAAATGGAATTAGTTATCTGGTGTGCTCTTAATAAAGGAACAAAGATTCCCTGTGAATTGATAGACCATTTAACGATTACCATTCTATCTACAAATAAAACTTGGCACAGGCAACCTGATTTCCAAAAATACCAATGCTATACAGAGAGAAAACAGTGTTGTGGCTTATAAATCACTTCAGGATGAGATATTTGAATAGTAATTAAACCCATACTTGGGGCCCAATACTTTGAGAGATAACATATTTTTTTAAATAGTGAAATAAATCAACAGGAAACCTGTAAGTCAAGCAGCTTCTATCAACTGGAGAGGGTAATTGCCAGAGCATAGAGAAAAATGTATCTTTGGCTGCAAGACTTAATCTTGCGTGAACATGTATATATGTGAGTGTGTTCACATATACCTTTGTGTACACATATATGATTTCAATATTCAAAGAAAACACAGGATCTCAAGAATCCAATTAATGGGCAGTATATGTGAATTTGGGTTCAAAAGAATCATTCATTTTCCCTAATTCTTTCCATGTAGTTCACATGCCACTTTGGATACAATGTCTTTTCTGATACTTCAGAAATTAATCTCTTCCTATCCAGAAAGGCACTAGAAAGACTCTCTATTGCTAGATAGGTACTGTATTTTCCCTTGAGTTATAATTATTTGGGTGCATCCTACCTCCACTGCTAGGCCTTTTTCTTAATGGTCCAAGACTTTATTATCATGATACGCTCGGAAGGATCCTGGCACACCAGAACATCGAGATCAGTTCGTTGTGAGGGTTGCCACAAGCACCCATACGAACTCCTGTGCCAAACTGTGGTGATGATTCACTATTTTTATATACTACAGTGGCTTCAATATTAACCACCATCTCTCTCATTTACCTGAATTCAGATATTCTTTCCTGAGTGGGAAAAAAAGAAGGCTGAAAACTGTTTATAAGTCTGGTATGCAGACGAAGGTGGAATGTGTTGTGTGAAACAACCAGCTACCTGGGCTTGGGGGAAAATAAGGTTGGCAACCCCTAGCACATGGCCTGGAACAAAGTAGGTACATTTTTAGCATAAATAAAAATGGAATAAATAAGTGAATTAGAGATGGTCTCCTTCAGATGAAATAATCCAGAAAAGCATACTGTAACAGATCTAATAACTATGAAAGACCTCAAACTATAAACTGGACACTAATAATTTGTAGTTATATAATTATTTAATTCCCTGTAGATCTATTTTCAAACTATTGAAAGGTGACAAAACAGTGAAGGGAAATGATGATTATCATTCAGAAGTGTGAGAAAGCAGGAGAGAAGAATGAAAAAAAGATGAAACAAAGTGAGAAAGATAAGGGCAAACAAAGCATAATTTTGAGACAATGCTACCACTCATCTTACTTTAACAATGAGGAGGAGGAAAAATTGTTAATTTTTGACAGTGACAGAGGACTAATCTTGTAATTATTTTGCCACTAAAAACCCCACACATTTTAAAATTGTGCTTCTTGTTCTCGAACAAGAGCAAATTAAGCTAACAATCTATATGCAATTAATGAAGCAATCGGTGGGCTTTATTCAAAAGGGGTCGTTCTTCCATTCTGCATAGCAACTCTAGAATAACTGAAATCAAGTTATTTAACTATCAATGGGCTGTGCTTGAAAGACTTAATATCATCAACTTATGCTGCTGAGACTGTCAAAGGAGGATATGAAGGTCCTTATCCAAAATACTGAATATTCATTTATCTTGTAAAAACAAAGCAGCCCATGTGTGCCCCCTTTCTATGCCTTTCTAGGACCCTAACAGACATTCACTGTATCAAATTCAATGAAAATCAACTTGATAAGTTAGGAAAAACTTCATCTAACTATATGCTTCAAATGTAGCAAGCCCATTCATGCAGACCTTTGTTGAGATCAAACTCCATGAGAAATTTAAAGAAAGACTGTAGAAGAAAATAGTACAAAGCAAACATCATATTTAATAAAAGAAAAAAAAGACACTGGCATCTGACAGATCTCATTTAGAGTCCTGCCTTTACCACTTAACAACTTGTTGGAAAGTATTGTGATTATCTTTTCTCATGTTAAAACTCTACTGTGAGCAGACATATATAATACCCAGCACAGTGCCTAGAAGGTTCTCCCTCAGTGTTGGTAAACTGCCCCTTTACTCACAAGCTTTTTTGAGGGAGCATGGGTTTAACAGATAGGTTCTGTTCACTTAAACTCAGCTTAATATGCTGTTCAAGAGAGAGAGCATAGATGCTTCCCATTTAACAGTGGTCCATATACTTCTCGGATGATATACTCTAAAGCCTCAGAAACTGAAAAAAAAAAAAAAAAGATGAAGAGTTTCCTTTCCTTTGTCCGAGTGATACACAGTCAGAAACAGTGCCGTGGCCCTGTTTGTGAATAAGGTCCTTATAGTCTTTGTCTTGCCCAACAACTTAGTCAATTTGTATACTTCAGTCCTTAGAACATTAGTGTGAATTTAACTCTGTGTCACAGTGATATTTCAGAGTCTAAACTGTTTCCCAAATAACCAATAAAACCCCATTCAAATCCTAGTCATGAAAATTCAGACCCAGTGAAATAGGGGAAGGCCCATGAAATACCACTGTTAGACAACCACATACTCTAACCACAAGTAAGGCCTCTCCTGGGTGCAACTAAGACTGCAAAGCTTCGCAGCTTTCTTCAGAGTTTACAGAGGAAAGGAAAAACCAGGCCCTCAAAACTGTAGAAAATGGCAACTCTAGTACTTCCAAACAAATTCGACCCACCTGCTTTCAACCCTTCCAGGGAAGTTCTGCTGCTTTCAAGCCACTCCTTGCTTTCAATCTCTCAGGGGGTCCTGCCCTGCTACCACCAAGACAGTAAACACCTCAGCTCTGAAGACTTGCTCCTCCTCACTGTAAAATTCTCCCATTTTCTCTTAAAATTCCCATCCTCTAAGGCCCAGGTCAAATATCCCTTCCTTTCTGTGAAAGCCCTAAGTCACAAGCCATCACTCTTTGCTCTGAGCTTTGATCCATACTTGCTTTCACTAGGTCAAGAACTTATCACAGTGTTTTACTAACCCTCACCCTTGCTATGGTTTGAATGTGTCCCTCAAAGCTCCTGTGTTGGAAACGTAATCCC